CATTGCTCGCCATTAAGAAGAACACTTCTCTTCTCCAATCTATCAATCCTTCCTTCACTCTTCTTCTTCCCATTCCATTCTTTCTTTCGTAAATCTCATTCGTGCAAAAAGACACGTAACACCGACCCCCTAATTTAAACATTTATGGAATAAGGAAATCAACTTAAATCGGCCCCTCTCAACATTCTGCATCAATAAAGCAAACAATCATATCAAACATAGAAAAAATCAGGCCGCATATCAAAGTACAAATATTTGAGGAGAGAAAAGCTATTGGTTGCCTTCGTTGTCATTGTTGTCGCTAAAGACCTCTTTTGAAGACTACTTCTCTCCATCTTGTAGGCGAAACCCCAAAAATTCTAAAGAACATATCGATGCAAAGTGATAAAAAAACCTTCATTTTTTTTTCATGACCCGCCGCTGTCCTCTCATTAGATGGTGATATTGTCTTACCCTAGCAGCGCTTGCCATTATAGAAAAGGGAGCTCAACGGAACCTCTCCGAAATGACTTGATTCGATTTGGGTTTGTGGATTAGAGGAAAAGAGAAAGAATAGAGGCAAATCACATAGAAAGTGGAAATGTTGTACAATTTTTTACATTACAGGATGACTTAAGGTTCCATGGGTTCGGATGACCCGCCCATGGATCTGAATTGTAGTAATCTGTTGAAAACAACAGAAGAGGGAAATCAATTAGCTTCAATAGAGAAAATGAAAAATCTGGATATTATAGACGACAAAAAAATATACCGATGCCAAACACAAAAATTCCTTCATTATCACTCTGCAAAGGGAAACTAATACAAATGTTGAAGCCATTCTAACTGTGGTGCTTCTCATCGAGACATCAAATACATGACCCTAGTTTCTGGCAAGTATTATTGATTAAAAAGTCAAACTTAATTGCATTTTTTGGTCCCTAAATTTGTGGAAAATAATGAAATGATCACCCGTTTCATGTGACTCTATGTAACAGTACCGTTTTTACTTGTTCTTTTAATAAGAACCGACCCAAAACCCGTAAACAGTGGATTCAATTCTCTTTGACCGGTTTGAGAAAGTGGGGCGAGTTTTTGACAAAATCCACATCCGATCCAATCCGTTAATTACAAAAGCGGATAAAATTCGTTCCCGACCTAAATTTGGCAACACCGATACCGGGTAGAATTACAAAATGGGGTAATTTTATCCCCGGCCCAAAAATCATAAACACAGGTTCAACTCACTATGTACGGGTTGAATTAGATTGAAAAGGCGGGTAAAATGCATTCTTGATCCAATTCAGTTATTACAAAAGTGGATAAAATTCATTCACGCTCCCAAAAGTGGCAAGGGTAAAACTCGTCCTCGACCCAAAAATCATCAACATTAGATTCAACTCGATATAGTGCGGCGCTTTTTTAACAAAATCCACACCCGACCCAATTTGTTAATTACAAAAGCGGGTAAAATTCATTCCCGGCCTACAATTCAGCAACATTCGACACCAGGACGGAAAAAGCGGGTAAAATGCGTTTTCGACCCAATTCAATGATTACAAAAGTGGATAAAATTTATTCACGCCCAGTGTCAAGAAAAAAATTCGTACTCGACCCAAAATTTGTCAGCACTGGATTCCACTTGATAAAGCGGGGCGACTTTTTAATAAAATCCACAACCGACCTGATTCGTTAATTACAAAAGCTGGTAAAATTCGTTCTTGGACTATAATTTGGCAACACCGATACCAAGTCGAATTATATTGAACGCACATGAATTTGAGTTCAATTGTCATAAGAGGAAATATTTCAAATATTTGATTAATGACCCAATTTGTTAAATACAAAAGCGGGTAGAATTCGTTACCGGTCTAAAAGTTGGCAACATCGATACCTGGTTGGAAAAGGCGGGTATATTGCGTTCTCGACCCAATTCAATGATTACAAAAGTGGATAAAATTCATTCATAACCCTAAAATTCGTTCTCGGCCTAAAATTTGGCAACACCGATACCGAGTTGGAAAAGGCGGGTATAATGCGCTCTCGAACCAATTCAATGATTACAAAAGTGGATAAATTTTTTGGGTTCAACTTTCATATGAGGAAATATATAAAACATTTGATTAATGATCCAAGTCGTTAATTACAAAACGGGTAGAGTTCGTTCCCGGTTTAAAATTTGGCAACACCGATATCGGGTTGGAAAAGGGGGGAATAATGCATTCTCGACTCAATTCAATGATTACAAAAGTGGATAAATTAATTCATAACCCTAAAAGTTCCTAAACTCGTTGTCGCAAAATTGGACACCCGACCCAATTGTTGACACCGAGTTCAACTCGCTTAACAAAATAAAAGGAAATAAAATTAAAACTCGTTCCCGACCCAAAAAATTAAAATAAAAATATTTGATTAATGACTCAATCGTTGCCGTCTCAAAATTTCACCCTCGACTCAATCGTTGACACCGAGTTCAACTCGTTTAACAAAATAAAAGGAAATAAAATTAAAATTCATTCTCGATCCAAAATTAATGACTCAATCGTAGTGAAAATTAAAATAACCCAAAAAGTCACTAAATTTATGGTTAATTATAAATGGTCACATGTCAAGAAGAAGAAAATTACGATAGGGCATTCCTTAGATGTGACTCTAAGAAATAGTAATAAAGTTTCTTGTTCTTTTAATATAGTAAAGTAATTAGACTTCTATGTTAAGTAATACATTTTTGCAGCCTTGTACATTTCTTTCAACTCCTTTCCTTGGCCTGTGGCTCTGTGCACACCTTGTAGTTGTCAAGTAGGTGCTTTACGCATATGTGTTATCCTGTATAAACAAATTTGAGGCTATTACTAATGAGAATCTCCCAGTTGGGGATGAGAGGAAGATAGAGTTGGGGATGAAGTGCAGCCAGCCAAGATAACTACAATAATTACCTGTTGTTCCCTGAAGGAGAAGGTGGTCTAACTGCAAAACCACCACCGTTGTCATACCCTCAATACCCTAACCACTGTCACCGTCCATCACAATCTAAAGCAAACAAGTAGAGTTCTGTAATTGCTTCATCCCATCCATGTTTTCAGTCGATGAAACAGAGAAAATGTATTTCCTTATGTAATAGAAAATAATAAATCATGTCCATCAATGAGTTGAATCCATAGTAAACAATATACCACTAGATCAAAAAGGTAGTGAGCCAAAGCCTCGAGTTAGTTTAGTCTTGGATGTGACCTAATGCACCTGACAGTATCCATTATCAGCTAGCATAGATGTACCTTAATAAACTGATAATGGTAACAATATAGAGCTAAAGAAATAAATGAGACAACTAAGCAATCGAAAGCAGGGGCAAAGAAAAGGAACAATGCAAGTGTCTGCAGGGTTCATGTCTGTCTGTCGTGGATGGGTCGGGCCTCTATGTGTTTTTTCTTGACCCTCACTTATTCCCTAGCTCGCCAAAACCCACCAAGGCTGGAAAAAAACGAACCAAAAGAGCAAAATTACACAAAATTTCAGGAGATTAACTAATCACGAGAAACCTGTCAATGCTCCTAGCGTTTTGCTTTTCTTTATAAGGTTTTTTTATTGGGCTAATACCTTATTTTGGCCCCAAATATGACCATATAATCAACTTTGGCACGTGGTTTTAGAAATTAACATCCTGGCCCGAACTTTGCAGCATAAATACTCATTTTGCCCGGATCGTGGTTTGACCGTTTGTTTGAACGGTCAACATCGTTGACCATTAGTCAACGGTCCATGTCAGCAACCAAAAAAATAAAAAATTCCGAGTTGAATTTTCTTTATTATTTCCTTTACCTAATTAAAAAAACGAATAAAAAACAAAATTTATCAACCACCAATCGCTCCCCTTATCCTCTCGCCTCTTTCCTTCTTCCTGCGAAACCAAACCCTACCCATTCTTCTTCTCCCTTCTTCCCCGACGAGTGGCATTCTCCCCGAGTAAAATGCAGTGGCGGCCAGGCGTTTGAAGATGCCGCCGCAGCCGCCGTCGCAGCTGCCGATCGATTCCATACCCAGAATCAGACCCCGCTCCACTCCTGTCACTCGCTCCTCTCGCGAGGCTCTGTTCTTTGTTTCTTGCCGAGTTCGAAAATTAGGGCATATCTCCCCTTTCCTACCCATCCATTCATGTCTATTTCATTGTAGACCAAAGCTTCCCCACCCATCGCCCTTTGTCCTTTTCTTTCTCGACCAACCCTTCCCCACTCATTGCTCTCTTTCGTAAAAGGCGAACAAACTGAAGGGCGAGGGACCACAATAGCAAGGATGCGACATCAACCAGACCTCTATGTTGATGGTTTCTTCAAGCTAGAGTTTGTCAAGTCGGCATACAAGTTTCCCATTCCACCATCAGAAGGCCGTCAAGCATGGATGCCCACTTTTGGGAACTAGGTGTACCCACCTTGGATTAGGCGCATGCCTGGTCGTCCTAAGACAAAACGAAGAAGGGAAGCATGGGAGATCCGTAGCAGACCAGCAAAAAATGGAATTGGGGAGGTTGCTAGTCGGGACAATCTCACGATTCTCTGTGGGAAATGTGGTGGAGAGGGCCAGAATGCGCGGACATGTAAAAATAAGCCTGCTGCCCCTAAGACTGCAGCCCCTAAGAGGAAGAAGCAAACACCCCGACTCCTACTCCACCTGTTCCTCAAACAAATGAAGCTGTCGGAGGGGAGAATCAGGTAAACTCGAAGATTTCCCTTTCTATAATTATCTAAAATGTTTCCTACATGTTCCTAATGTTTAAAATTTTGCAGCAGCCACGAAAAAGGAAGAAGGGGTGCTGCTCCAAATGTAGATCCAAGCATCACAATGCAAGACGTTGTCCGCTGCTTGTAGGAATTCAGGTAAGGATGTTTAACTATGAATGTAATGCAGGGAATGAATGAATGATAATCATGTATGAACGTCATAGGCTCCCCATGTGGGCTCGAGTAGTGGAAGGGTAACTGATCATGAGATGAGAAGGGCTTTGCAAAGCATTGGAACATATATTGATATGGAGACTGGAAACATGTATGCAAGGGTATGTAACAAACCAGATTCTTTATTGTTTATAGGACCTTATTGCGCTCTTTTGTTCCTAATATGGTTCATGTGGGCGTTTTGTAGCCTAGTCATAGAGTTCCAGCCCCTGGTGGTGTACGAGCCACAGAACCAGACCTGCCTCCTGTCAATACCACACAGCCTCCCACCACTCAACTAGAGTCGCCTTAGGAATTCAGAAGGTGCTATGTAAGGAAGTAGATATCTAGGTTTGGTAGTAAATTAGACTCCCTTTTTGTACATGCTTTGTGCATGATATGAATCCCAGTGATTCGTTTGGAGTGTAGAAAGAAGTATGTAAAGCAGCTCCAGGGTTAGGAGTCCCCCTTTGGTACATGGTCTGCACATCAACCCAATCTAAACTAAGTATTACCCCTTTTGTACATGGTCTGGACATGTTTGAATGATCAAACAGATTATGGTTATGAATAAATGAAGTTGTATATGTTTGTCCCAGTTAAATATATTATGGTTATGAATGAATGAAGCTATATATGTTTGAATGAGCAGTTCGAGCAATTCTTTCATTTTGTTGAAGATTACACACATTAAACTTGAATCGTACAGTTGAACAAGCTTACAATTGGACAAGCACCAAAACAGAAATGAGCATGACTACAAAGATTACACAGATGGTTAGCCGTCTTTGTAGCGAACAAATCCCATTTCTCATATTCTGCAATTCACCAAAACTAGCTGAACTGATCTCGGTCACCTTGGTCAAGTCTTCTAGCATCGCCAACTTCTCATGTTTCCTCTTCTTTGCCTTCTCTTCTGCCCTACAAAGCCGCCCTTGAAGTGCCTCCAATGTCGACTTCAGCTGCTCATTCTCTTCCATAACTCCATCCAACATACACTCGCTTTCCGTCACTGCATCAACCTAGCGAAAAAATCGGCAGTTCTTCTCTTCATCCTTCCAAAACGGGCACGAATAAAACAATCTTCCAGGATTGTCGTCTGGGCGAGAAGTGTTAACAACGCAGGGGGATTTGTGGACTTTGCATCTTATGGGCCTCATGTTTGACGAACCAAAAGATGATGAACCTTGGTTGAAGATTTTCCCAACTCGCCTGGACATTATTGTTGGATGGGTCTTGGTCTGACGACAAGAGGGGGCTGGGTAAATTAGAAAGGAAGAAGAGCGTGTGAGGGGTCTGGGTCTGATAGAAAAAGGAAGAAGTGAGTGCAAGGGGTCTGGATCTGATAGAAAAAGAAGAAGAGACTTGCAATTTTGGTTTGGGATATGGAGGCGGCTGCTGGTCGCCGGAAAAGAAGGGAGAACATGAGAATAGGGTTTTGAGGAGAGGGGAGCCAGCCGATTAAAATAAGGGGGGGGGGGGCGATGGGTGGTTGATAAATTTTGTTTTTTTTTTCGTTTTTTTTAATTAGGTAAAGGAAATAATAAAGGAAATGCAATTCGGAATTTTTTATTTCTTTGGCTGCTAACATGGACCGTTGACTAACGATCAGCGGTGTTGACTGTCCAAACAAACGGTCAAACCACGATCCGGGCCAAATGAGTATTTATGCTCAAACCACGTGCCAAAGTTGATTATATGATCATAGTTGGGGCCAAAATAAGGTATTAACCCTTCTTTATTTGAACAAAACAAATAGCTGCAGGCAGAGAGAAGGCTTTCAATCGTCTGTTTTTTCTTAACCCTCACTTATTCGTACATATCAAACGAACATGTTGATAGAGACCTAATTTTCGGGTTTCCTCGTAATTATTTATTACTATAATTAGGATATTATTAGATATGGTGAGTTAGTCATTGAGTCGTATTAGGATAGCACATTAGGTTTTTCCAGACTTATGTACTTTGCGTTTTATTCAGGATCAATCAAGAACATATTAAGAAAACAATCTCCTAAACCCTATTCTACCAATCCTCTCCATTCTTGCTCTCAACCCCTCTAATGGCGTAGGCCGATTCTCTATCTTCTTTCCCAAATTCTATTCTAAATCCCTAATTCCTATCAATCCCCAATTTCCCAAGCCGATCGATAGATCCCCTAGCAATAGGTTTCTATCATTTGGTATCAGAACTCGAAGAGCTCGTCACAGCTCTTCAAGGATATGGAGTGGTCTCAATTGCAAGAGCTGCTATGGCATCAGCCTAGTTATTCTGCTAACTGCATAAGTTGTTAGTATATACTAACTAATATCCAAAATGTATGAACATGTATCCAAGTTTGTTGAGTATCTAGATAGCACAGACTAGTATTCAAAACATCACAAACTAGTATCCAGATAGCAGATACCAACTAATATCCACAATCAACCAACTAGTATTCAATATTGATACTCTTATGTGTTATTTGGATACTTTTATGTGTTATGTGGATACTAATTATGTGTTGTATGGATACTATTCTGTGTTGTCTAGATATTTGTTTGTGAATTTGAGATAATAGTTGATTCATGGTGGATATCAGTTAGCAAACTTTGAATACTAGTATGTGATCTCTAGATACTTTAGTACTTGGATACTAGTTCATGTATTTTGGATATCAGTTAGTATCTGCTAACGAATTTTCAAGTTAGCAGATTAACTTTTCTCCTATGACATACTCTAGCCCACCTGAACCACGAGGCGGAAGTCAAAGCGGCGAAGAGGGAGGATGTTGCGAGGAATTTGTTGCCGCAGGGCCAGGCTATCGCTGCCACTTCCATGCCGACCACCAATGTCTCAAAGCAGGTGGGACCACGAACCAAAATTGTCATCCCAAGCATCGTCACCACCGAACAGCCCCCAAAGCACCCAATGTACGACAATGCTCTTTCCACCCCACCTAAGGCGAAAGAGCCATCACCACCAACCCTTATTGCATCGGTGGAACAACCATCCAAGGTGGTTGATCCACCTAAGATGAACGAAGAAGAAGATGCGAGAGAGAGCCCCTCCACGGAGAAGGCGAACGAACCTCTATCCTCGTTGTCCGACGCTGTGGAGACAGAACATGACAAGAACACTAAACCAGCCGCAATGAACACCATCGTTGCAGCTCTGAAGACCACCATCGCAGCGCTGGAATTGCGGAAACTGAGGCTGGCCATGGATTCTATACTCGGAGAAAAAGTTGTTGCCTCCACAACCACCAACCGCCATCGTCATTCCAACGACACCCACCGCTACGACCGTCCTGGAGATTATCTTGAAGCCTATTTCAATATCCACAAACATAGATGGAGGTAGAAGGATCCAACACCAGCAACAATCGACCACTTCACCTCACAAACCATCACCGGTCAACAGGAGCAAGTGTTTCTCTTGAATCAAACCAGAGGGCTGCGTTCAGATCAACGCTTGCTCCATCGAACCTCCCAGTCAAAGGCTGGAAAGTCCGGAAGAAAAGGGTGAAGGTCGGAGCAGAAGGGAAGGCGACCGCCGTGTTGTCCATTTCCTCAAACATAATACCGTTGGCCGCTTCCCTGGCCATAGACCTGGAGACGGCGGCCCATTGCTCACGGGAGACGACATGGAGTAGAGGAGGAGGTGACCTTCGTGGAGATGATGGAACAAGAGAGTAGCGTTGCGCCTCCACTCGTTCGATTGAAGACGACGCCAGCTGAGGCGTCGTTCGACGCGGAGACAGAGAAGGAGTCGTCGATGGTTGATCAGAAGGAGGCGTCGATGACTCTCCTCGTGGCATCGATCAACAGCGAGGGGAATCGGAGAATCGGACCAGATGAGCGGCGGCATCTTCACCACCGGGTGGCTTGGCTGTCGCCGGTGAGGAAATTGAAGGAGGAGTCGCTGGCGGGCAGAGAGGAGGGCAAGGATCTTATTTTTCCAGCAACCCTAGGGTGCGCCACACAATGGCCAGCATAGCTGGCTGGGCTGAGTGGTGGTTTGAGTCACTGGACCCAGCAAGCCAAAACCAATTTGTTGGGCATTCTTTCGTTCTAACGAGGCTTTGGGACAAAGGTCAAGCTATGGGCTGAAGTTGGGGAAAGATTGGGCTTTGAATGAGCTAATTCTGAGGGTTCACAAGAGCTATCCTTTGAGGAGAGTGGATATGAAGGAGAAGAAAGATGGGATGAAGGGTTGAACTGGTGGGCTATCAAGAGAGTATGACCCAAAAGCTATTAAATAACCAATAATGTAATTTAATTGGCTAAACCCAACAAAGAGTTTTAAGGGCCTTGCTGAGTTGGTTCTTAAAAATAGATTCTTGCACAAAGACATATCTTTGGATTCCTTAAGCTAATACATGATGATGCTAGAAGGAAGAGTTATTGAAGTTGGGAGTCTTGAGGAGGCTAAGATTGGGTCCTTAGAACTGAAATTTACAGTTTTTGATATACACAAGAGAGTCAAAGCAAGAAGGCCAAGTGAAGAGTTGGAGCATGATTCGAAGAAAAGAAAGCGCAAGAGATGGAGGAGCCAAGATGCGGTTTGTACGGGCGACGTGAGAAAGCAGGTCGAGTCGGTCAACCTTGAGGGCAAGGTTGGTCTAAAAAAGGAGAGGACGATAGAAACCTAATTTTCGGGTTCCGTCATAATTATGATTACAATAATTAGGATATTATTAGATATGGTAAGTTAGTCATTGAGTCACATTATGATAGTCCATTAGGTTTTTCCAGTCTTTCATTATAAATATGTACTTCGCATGTTATTCAACATCAATCAAGAAACATATTAAGAAAACAATCTCCTAAACCCTATTCTCGCAAACCTCTCAATTCTAGCTCTCAACCCCTCTAAAGGCCTAGGTCAATTCTCTATCTTCTTTCCCAAATTCTCTTCTAAATCCCGAATTCTTATTAATTCCTAATTTCCCAAACCGATTAGTATATCCCTAGAAATAGGTTTCTATCTATCTCAAGTTGCTTCCTCCTTATTCTATATATACACACACATCATAACTCCATCCCAACTTTGAGTTCCAATACCCCAAAATGCCAAAGGTATTCTTCTTTCCTTCTTCTAATGCATTTCAGTTCATTCATTATGGAAAAATAGAGAAACAACAGCAACAATGACGAGAAGGAGAAGTACCAGAACTTCGAAGCTCAAGCGAGTAGCCAATAAATGTTAGTAATTGTGTGCGGCTCTTTCTCATCCTCTATCAAGTCTTCTGCTTTACATATTCCTCCTCCAAGTATTTGTTCTCCATCTCTCACTATAAGCCACTCAGTCCTGATCTTTCTACTTCTGCTGCTAAGTTGGTGCAGCAAGTCTCCTCCGTCCTTGAGAGTACATAATAATAATAATAATAATAATAATAATAATAATAATAATAATAATGATAAAAAACCTGAACACTACCAAAAAATCCACAATTCGCTTAAGCACTAACCTAAAACAATACCTAAGACAGTTCGACTTGTCATTGGCGCCTGAAAGAAAATGTACATATGGAAGAAGACCTAGAAATTTAGCAGTTTCTTTCTGCTTTGTACTTCCTATTTCAGATCTACAAATTCTTTCATGGATTTCTTTTTCTCCTTCGCATATTTCTTGGTCTGCTCTTCTCTAGTATAAATTCTTCACCTTCTCCCTGGTGTCCCTCACTTGTGTATCTCATCGGTCCCTTCAATACTGATGAACTAACTAATGACTCGATATTTGCACATTTTTTTCCCCTCTGCTTCTTGATCGTTTAAGCTTGCATTATCGCTTCTATCTTACCCTAGGTTGTGTTCCTTTGCCAAATTTCAGGTCCTAGCATGTAAAGTAAAGCATAGGAGCGAGTTTCAAATCAATCGGAGATCAATTGGCGACTAGGGAGAAGAAACTCGGGCATGACCTGAAGAATGATGAATTTATACCTCATTTATGGACAAAGAATCATTCAAACTTGTCATAAAAAGAAATAGGACAAGACTACGAGCGTCTGGGATCAAACGGAGACTGATTCGGAGTCTGGACGAGGGAGAAACGAAGCATTAAATATAGTGGAACAGGTTCGGCGGAAGAAACACAAGCAGACTACCCTAAAAACACGGTCGTGTTTCTTCTGGCACCTGCTAGTGTTTTTATGCCGAGCCTCTCTTGTGAAGACTGTTGAAGGGATACAAAACACGAGCGGGACCAAAACACGAGCAGGACTAAACACGGTCGTGTTTTTGTCCCTACTCGGGTATAAGTCTATTTTCTGCGAATTTTAGAGAGGGAGAGCTGGGTTTTGGATCCCAAACATCCAAGGGACGAACCAAAGAAAGAGAGGGCGACTTGAAGACTGATCATCTAAATATTCTTACTGCAGTCTCTCTCTTCTCTATGGAGTAACTTCCCTTCACTTAGGTTTTGAGGAACCCTAGCCATGTTTGTTTGATTGGATGATTGTATGAGTACACTTGCTTGATAATATTGAGTTCATATTCAATCTATGCTTGTTTTCATGATTCAATTCTGCTTTAGTCGAGATTATTGATTATGCTTTGATCCTATGAGAGCGAATATCTGATTAGGTCAATAGAGCACCATCGATTGATAGTATTGGATCAATTGCTTTAGTCGATGGTTGATTCAATGCTTTGTATCGATTGAGAACCGCATTCGATAGAGGGAGTCTAGTTCAAAACGCCTTGATCGGTTATTCTATATAAGGATACGTACCTCTAGGCAATTGACTCAAGAGGGTCTTGTTCCTTTAGTCGAGCCTCAAGGTCTAGTCAAGGATTCTCCGCATTGTGAATGAAAGTGAAATAGGTTAGAGATCATCAATCATTAATTTGGCTAGTGGCTAGGGGGAATCATACCTATGTGAGTTCCCAACCAGTAATTGAGTTCCCAACCTGTAATTGAGTTCCCAACCTGTAATTAGATTAACTTTAACTGTACTTTGCTAGAGTAGTTTTAGTTGTTCTATCTTAATCTGGTTTTCTAGATAATGAACCGAAGCTGAGTAATAGTAACTCTAGAGACCCGTGGATTCGATATTTATTATTTGAGCCACTTTACTGCATCCCCTTTGATTGGTTACACTTGGCCTTTGTTATGAGTTGTGTCATAGCGAGTCAAGTTTTTGGCCATTGCAGGGGAGTTTCTAGATTACTAGGAAAGGCAGAAGTTTGTTAATTTAGCTTTTCTTTTTGTTGTTTTTCTTTCCCACCCTTGCTTTTCAATTGGGTGTTTTTTGTTTTCTTGTTGGTGCAGATCTGAATCATGGATCATCATGGCTTCTCCAACCATTGGGGGTATCCACCACCCTTCGAGTGGTATTACCATGAGACTTCCTGGAGCAATCAAGAAGGAGAAGATTATGGATTCGGGTTCCAGTACCAACCCCCTTAATACGGAGAAGAATCAGACCCCTAGGCATATCAAGAACAACCTCCTTATCAAGAAGAATTTCTCCCACAACCAGGAGGCAACCCAACCAGTCGGTTTGCATTTCTTTCCCTATTTCTCCTCGGTTGAGTCAGTTTTGTTCTTTGATTTTAGAGTCAATAACTCAACCTTTGTGAGATTTTGTGTGGTGTTTGTGTTCCGACTACTCTCTCCTTCGAGAATGCACCACCTGCCCCATCCACCATCATTCACACTTGATCTGGTAACTTCGTTCTACCCTCCTTATCTTTCCTCCATTGAGGCCAATGTCGTGTGAATGTTCGATTAAGTGTGCGGGGGATGTTCGATTATAAATGCGTGTGAATGTTTGGCTGTATGTGTGTGCTTGGAGCCTAGTCCACCGTCCAAATTTTTAAATTTGAGGGCTCCAAGTACGTGTTTCCTACAATTTCCTCCTCAGTATG